AGAGCAGCAGCTTCAGCGGCTGTGAGACCGAGTCGGCGGCAGCGGCGGCAGTAGCTGGAAGGTGCCAGCCTTTTGTTTCTTGCTTTGTTTGGCGAAGGGTACGGGGCCAGGCCGTGAGGCCGTGCATCGCCGAAGGTGCTCTTGTAGCCGCCTCGGTTCAGACGCTCGAGCGCGGAAGGATTCACGTTAGGCTTCCAGTAAAGGGACAGAGCGGTAGTTTGAAGCAGCATCAGCTGCTGCAGCTGCAGCGGCGGTAGAAGGAGTGCAGGGGGCACTCGCAGGACAAAGTTGCTCGGATCACCGACAAGAGCGTGAGGATCATTGCGTGTCGCTGTCTGGGCCAGGAAGCTGCTCTTCTCTAGACTCCAGGGTGGCCGCGCGATGGCGACAGATGCGCCGCAGGCAGATCGCTCGAGGAAAGGTCTAAGGTCGAGCCGACTGGCACAGGGCGTGGGAAGAGGTATGGCCTCTGAGGGTCTCCAGAGGTCTCCTGGAGGGCTCCAGGAGGCGTCCGGAGACCTCTGGAGGCCCGAGGGGCGACCCACCGCCCAAGACCTCGAACCTCGAGACCTCTCCTCCTCCTCCTCATTTTCCTCCTCCTCCTCCTCCTGCCCCCCCTCCTACTCCTCCTCGTTCTCCTGATCCATTTCCTCCTCCTCCTCCTCCCTCCCTCCCTCCCTCCCTCCCTCCCTTCCTCCTCCTCCGCCTCCTCCTCCTCCTCCTCCTCCTCCTCCTCCTCCTCCTCCACCCGAGGCTGGTGGCGACACGGACGAATACGTCCACAAGAAGGACTCGCTCGCCTTCCCCCCTGCGAGGGCCGCTCTGTGCGTCTGGGCGGCTTCGATCGTCTTGGACAACATGCCCGACCTAAGTCACCCCCTGGCTCGGCGGTTCACGTCATGCGCTCGCTTTCTAGATGCTGGGGCGCGGACCCATGGGTACGTTCCGCGCGGGGCATTCGGGCAAGGCCGCCCAGTAGTGATGTCGTGGTGGCCGAGGAGCCCCGACCGCGGGGCCGTGGACATCCACCCAGGAGCCATGCGACTTCGAGCGGCTCGCGTTGGCTCGGTGGTTGCAGTCGGGTCCGGGAACAGCAGGCGCAAGAAGGAAGACTCTTGCCAACAAGCAGGTGCTGCAGAGAATTGCCGACGGTTGTGCTTAATGGTGAAATCAAAGCTTTATGGGTGAAATAAAAAGTTGTAACGTGAAATAAACACTGCATACATCACTACGCAAAAGCACGAGGCAACAACACTACTTAGAACCTCCCCAGGGCGCTCCCGTGGCGCTCCCGATGGCGACCCCGGAAACAACATGCAAATGCATTACGCAAATATTCCACGCAAGGGCTCCACGCAAAATGGCGACTCCAGCACCCTTCACGGAAGCACGACGCAAACATACCACGCAGGACCACTACGCCGAAAGATTGCGCCAAAACACAATTCAAAAGCACGATGCGAAAGTACTACGCAGACGCACCACGCAAACGCACTACGCAAATTCTACGCAACAAGCTATGCAGATACCCTACGCGACAGCTAACCCCACGCGAACACATTACGTCCATTTTTAACGCGAAAGACTCTACGCGAAATACACTGCGAAATACACTACGCAGATACACTAATACATATTCTACGCAAGTGCTCCACGCCAGACGGCGACGCCAACACCCTTACACGAAAACACCACGCAAACATATCATGCCGGAGCACTACGCAAAAAACACTACGCGAACACGCTACGCAAATCACACTACGCAAACACACTACCCGTTAACACCACGCGAGCACATTATGTCCATTCGCTACGCGAAACACACTACGTAAGTACATTACGCAAATGCACTGCGCACATACACTACGTGGCGCAGGGGATCACGGCACAGCCCCCGGTAAAGTAGCGTTACCACGGACATTTCCAGCATTGCCATTACCCATCGCCCGATCGAGCTGCTGGGCAGCGTCCCCCAGTCTTGCAGTTCTGAATCCCTTCCCGATTTCGCGGATCGATCACGGAAACGCATGACGCGAACACGCTACGCGACATTATTACGCGTTAAGTCAATTTCACGCAAAAGCGTGCCAACTCATTCGCTACGCGACATACACTACGCCAGATACATTACGCAGAAACACCAGGCACATACACTGCGCAAATACAGTACGCAGTGACTCTACGCAAGTACTCCACACAAAATGGCGACGCCAATTCCCTACTCTAAAACACTACGCAAACATACCACGCAGGCAAAGACTCCAAAAGACTACGCCAAAACACCACGCAAAAACACTACGAATAAGCCCTACGCAACCACACCACGTAAACGCACGACGCAAACACGCTACGCGAAGACGCTACGCCAAAGCACTACGGAAACACACCACGCACACATACGCACTCTTCGCAACACACATTCCGCGCAAATGCGATGCGAAAGCGCTACGCCGCTACGCCGACACACTACGCGAAAACACTACGCAGCACACTACGTAACCGCACTACGTATCTACACTGCGCAAATACATTGCGCACATACACTACATGAACACATGACGTAAATACACGACAAGCATGCGCTACGTACATACACTACGAACAGACACTACGCACATACACTACGCTCATTATGTTACATTCAGGCGCACCTCCCCAGCCCTTCCCCCGATCGCCCCAGGGCCCACAGACGCCCTACGCAGAACATCCGGGGAGGTCCAAGTATCGACAGATATGAACCTCCTGGTTTCTTATCATCAGGTTTCAGATCGTACGCGTCTCCTGTAGTAACTGGGTCGAGCCTGTGAATTAGGGTATCCCGCGTCTCAGTTCCTCCTCATGCCTAGGGAACGTGAGCCTTTGCGCCCTCGCGCCTCGTTTCAACATATGCAGGGGCACCCGCTGGTCCTCTGCTGCCTGCCATGCTACCATCGGCAGTGCTCTCTGACGTGTCATGTGTCCTCCGTGATCGTTCCTTGCTATACGCGTGGTCATTTGTGTTGTTGGCCCCAGGGGTGACCCCCACCGAAAACGTGGCGGGGCTCGTCCCGAGGCGGAGCGTGAGGAACAACATCAGGAGAAGAGCGCAACGGGTAAGAAGAGACATGTTGAGGGCATCCAAAGTACGGTTCGTTGCAAGCCCGGTAGAAATCACCAAACATATTGTTCCAGGTGTTGTTTTGGTTCCCGGGCCAGGCAAAGCTGCTCGAAGCGAAAAACTTGGTCCTGCGGTTTGCGGGGTCGAGAGTTCCAGGTTAATGAATTATTGGTATAGGGGGAACACTGCGTCGAAGGCACGGGTGGTCCTGCTCCTCCTCCTCCTCCCCCTCCTCCTCCTCCTCCTCCTCCTCCTCCTCCTCCTCACCTCCCAGACGCCCACCTGCCCCCTCCGAGCCAAGATCGCTGGTGAGAGTTCCAGGGCATGCCCACTGACGGTCCAGGCAGAGGGCCCCCCCCCCGCGGACGCCCGGGTCAGGCCCCCCAGAGAGAGAGGCCCGAGAGAAGTTTCGGAGACGGCCCCAGGGAGCCCCGAGAGAGAAGGGCCCCAGGTCGGCATCGTTGAACGGATCCCCATCCCCATTCCCATCCCCATTCCCATCCCCATCCAGACCCCCAGCAGCCTTGCACCCCAGTTGGGGACGCACGCCTCGAAATCCGCAGTGAGCGGCCTATATCCCCACCTAGGGGGTCCATCGGCCATTGGGGCCCAGGCCACGCTCATGGGGACAGGGGTCGGTGAAACGATGCCCACCAGGACACCCGAACGGCCACAGACATTGCAACGAGCGTGTATGCTCGCGGTGCTTCTCGGACCCCAGGCGTCGGAGGTCGCATGGGCACGCCTGGGGCGTGCGAGGCTGTGGTCCTTTCGGAAGGCGGCAATCCCCCTCCTCCTCCTCCTCCTCCTCCTCCTCCTCCTCCTCCTGCTCCTGCTCCTGCTCCTCCTCCTCACCATCTTCATTCTCCTCCTCCTCCTCCTTCTCCTCCTCCTCCTCCTCCTCCTCCGCTCTCCTCCTCCCCTCCCTCCTCCTCCTTCCTCCTACTCTCTACTCCTCCTCCTCTCCTCCTCCCTTCCCCCCTCCTCCTCCTCCTCCTCCTCCTCATCCTCCTCCTCCTCCTCTTCTCCCTCATCTCTCCTCCTCCTCCTCCTCCTCCATCCTCCTCTCCTCCTCCTCCTCCCCCACACCCTCCGCCTCCTCCTCCGCTCCTGCTCTCCCTCCTTCTCCTCCTCCTCCTCCTCCTCCCTCCTCTTCCCCCTCCCCTCGTTCCTCTTCCTCCTCATCGTCCGCCTCCTCATCTCCCTCCTCCTCCTCCTCCTCCTCCTCCTCCTTCTCCTCCTCCTCCTCCTCCTCCTCCTCCTCCTGTACACCCGCACCGATACTGCACAGGCCGATCCCTGGGCCACAGCCTCGGTATATGTGCCTTCCCGGCAACGCCGGGAGGGCGTGCACACCACGCTTGAGCAGAAGATCGGCTTGGCCAGAACAGGTGCAGGTGCAGCTTGCGTCCTCGCATCCCAGACCCGAAGATCAGCTTCCCTCCAGGTGTTTGATGGCCCTTTGGTCTCCAGGACCTCTGTGGACTTCTGAGGCTGTCCAGAGACCGTTTCATGGCGCGGGAGCGCGCGAGCTGTCAGTGTGGATGCTCACTGGAGGAGGTGGAGGAACATTGTGGTTGCCCTAGCTGTCGCATTTGCCCTGCAGACCTCCCTGTGTTGCTCAGGATTTCAAGCGACTGGTGTTGAACCTGTTCTATTTCAACAAGCTCTTCTGGCTGTTTGATCAGGCTGAATTTGCTTTCTGCTTTGGTAGGCAAGATGGGCGCTTGCACTACACCACTGCATGGCGTCGCTGGCTGTGTCGATATTGTTTGTCATTGGTGTTGGTGACACTTGAGGGAGTCCTTGCATCATGTCGTGCTTGTCTTATCTTCCTTTTGATCCCTGTTCGGCACTAAGCAGCTCGCAAGAGCACTCATGCATCCTGGGCTCTGGGGCTCAAGCTCGAGGGGCCCGCGGGGTGGCGTGGCGCCGCGCCGCGGCCGCGCCGCGGCCCAGCCTCGCGGCGGCGCCGCAGCCTGGCTTGCGCCCCGGTGGCCGAACTCCATCCACGTCCGTGTCGAACCACTACCTCTCTATTTTCGCCTCGAGGGCCGAGCGCAACCTCGTGAAGCATACGGTCGGGGCGCTGAAGAAGGAACCCTTTTCGTTGGGGAGGGGCTCCGTGTTCCTTAATTGTTCCACAGTTTGTCTTATGTCTTCCTTAGGTTTTCGTTGGGACACCGAAGTTTAACTTATGGGAAAAAGGGGCCTCGTTCCTTTTTTAGGGTTCCTTAGGTCAAGGCCCCGACTGTAGCCTCGCCATCCCGCGCGCATGGTGCTGCTCGCAAGCCTGGGCACGGAGCAGCTCGTGGCCGCCGCGTCGGGCGCGCTGCAGTCGCAGGGCGCGCTCGCGTCCGCGGCGGCGGCCGCCGAGATCGCCGCGATCGGCGTGAACACCTGGGGCGCCAGTCTCGGCCTCGCGGCGTGCGCCGCCGGAGTCGGCGCGGGTGCAGTGGCCGCCGCCGCGGGGAAGTTGCGGTGCGGCGCCGACGGTCAGGCGGACGATTGCCCCGGCGGCAACTGACGCCCACCGAAGGAGGAGACTGTCCAGGCGGTTCCTCAAGGCACGTCGTGGGGTATGCTGGCGACGCCCGTGGCGATGTCCCTGATGTCAATTCCGGCGCTGCTGGGTAGCTGATGTTGGCCTCTGCTGATCGCCGTCTCCTTCGGGGCGTCGGGAGTGTCGACGGCGAAGACTCGAGCGGTGTCGCACTCGCTGTCCTGGGGGTTGCACATCGGGGCGCTGGGAGCCCTGGCGGTGTACGTGTTCGCGCGCACCCCCGGCGACCGCGCGTCGTCGCACCCGCTGATCCGCTGGGCTCCGTTCGTGCTCGTCGTGCTGGGGTCCCTCATGGTGCTGCTGGACCTGACGCGCCACGTGCTCCTGGACCAGAACGTCGCGCCAGTCCACCTCCACATGTACAACAAGGACGGTTCCCTTACCGCTGTGGGCGAGCTGGGCATGTATTGCACCTGGTGTGGTGTCGTGCTGCTGGTCATCGGCACCGGATGGTTCCTCAACTACCAGGACAAGGTCGCGAGCCTGTACCAGTCCGTGTTTGGGAAGGCCGGCACTCCCGCGCCGGCGGCTCCGGAGGAGCGCGCCTAGGCTCGGGCCGGGCGAAAGGAGGGGATTGGGAAAGAGGAGGGTACGAAATCTGCTGCACGCAGCTGGTTTCGGCCCCACCGGAGGGGCCCACTCCTCGATGCATGGGCGCCTCCATGGGCGCCTCCCGGCGCCGGGAGGCGCCGGGAAAATCGGCTACGGGAGCTGATTCTCAACCCCCCCTTTGCTATCCCCCCCGTTCGCCCGACCCGATAGGCGCCGCCGCGCCCCTCGCAAGCCGCCCCAGCGGCGGCGGCGGGGCCGCCCGCGCCCAGGATGACGGGCGCTGGGATCCCGGGCAGCTGCGGGTGCTCTCGAGGCCCCGCGGTGCTCGGCGCCGGCGCCCTGAGGATGGGCAGCGGGCGGCGCCGCCGGCGCTCTTTTCGGTGGCTCCAGGAGTGGAGGAGGAGGAGGAGGAGGAGGAGGAGGAGGAGGAGGAGGAGGAGGAGGAGGAGGAGGAGGTGGAGGAGGAGGAGGAGGAGGAGGAGGAGGAGGAGGCGGCGCAGGGGCTGCGCGGGGCGCGGGGAGCCACGGGCGCGGGCCGCACCGGCGGCCGCGCCCTCCGTCGGCGCTCGCCAGCGTGCTGCCCGTTCGCGACGCTGCGCGGCCAGGCCCGCGGTCGGAAACACAAAAATCCTGAGCTTCGGGGCACGATGCCGCTGTAAGTTTCTCTGCATGGGCGTCCAAGGTCTGGCCTCACATCGTCAAGCGAGGTGTTGAGTGCATGATGCTGGCGTTGACGCCAAACAGTGGTTCCATGCTGTCTGAGGGGTGCAGCCTGCAGTAGGCACGCTGGCCCCAGGGGCCAACAGACGCCCTGGGACACCTCAGGAAGCTCAACTTTGGTCGACAGGATTGATTACCGTGTCTTTCCATTGTCTGGGACCCTGGGATGCGATCGGTGCAGTGCAGCATGTCGGGTGCGATCTGTGGGAGCCAATCGTGTGGAGCGCTGTCGTGTGGTACATGAACGTCAGTGACCATCTCGTGGGGGGGCCCAGCGTGTTGTACCTCCTCGTCCTGCGGGCCGCCCAGCATCGCACAAGTGTCGGGCCCTTTCGCGTGGGAACGCCGTTGCGTGTGGAGCTCTCGAGCGTGGCCCAATCGTTTTGCACTCCATCGTGTGGAGTCTGTTCGCGCAAGACAGGGGGGGGGGGGGAAAGAGAGAGAGAGAGAGAAAGAGAGAGAGGGAGAGAGAGCACCAGTCGCCGCGTGGGACCCAGTCGAGCGGGACCCTGCCGTGTGGCGGACGGAAGGGGGGGACCGTGACGCCGCACAGCGCCAGATTTCGCGCCGCGCAGGGCCAGCATGCCAGAGACGAGTCTCCGAGACTCGTCGGCACAAGCGCTGCTCGTAGCTGCCCCGGCACGCTCGGTTTGAAACGCAACACGTACCCACCGGTCGTTGAAAGTAGGTATTTTTGGATTCCCAGATTCCAATCTGCTTTCAGCGCCTTCCTACTTCAAGAGTCGAGCGGTTCTCCCTCTTCCTTCCTCTTCAGGAGGCGGGCGGAATCCCAATCTATTTCCAACGCCTTCCTACTTTATGTTTCTAGCTACTTCTTCCGACCGATGGGCACCGTGTTCTAAACGTCCGCGTTAGCACGCTGCGTGCCGGCCCGGCACGTGTGGGCCCACGCTCTCTTTGGCGACGTGCTGGGCCGGGCCTCCGCGCTTTCGAGCTGCGTGCTGAGCTCCGTGTCGAGGCGCCGAGACGCATCGGGGGGCGGCCAGGGTGGGGAGGGGGCCCGTCTGCTCGGGGGAGCGGGCTCGTACCGGGGCGTCTTCGGGGGGGGGGGCTCGCATTCGGGCGTCTTTGGGGAGGGGGCTCATACTGGGGCGTCGTTTGGGGAGTGGGCTCGTCTGTTGGGGGAGCGGGCTCGCACTCTGGGGCGTGCATGTCGGCCCCCGCACGCCTGTTGCACCGTCCATGGAGGCCCTGGTTGCAAGTGATAGGCGGAATTGCGCAGCGGTGTCGATCTTCTCGAACTTTTCCTGAACTCCAAAAGCAAGCCCGACCCATCAGGTTTCTTAACATCTCCACGCCTCCAAGCGCAAGCGAGCGGGCGCTAGAGCCGAAACGGGCAATAGTACCGATATGGACGGGCCCCGCACGTCACCTCACTCGCACTCCTTGCACTCTCGAATCGCCATGCTCAGGCTTGCTCCGATCCAGATCTGCACGGAATAGGGTCCTCCAAGCTGAGCATATCATCTTCATCTGAACCGTCATTCGAGAGGGCCTCGTAGTCCGGAAAGTCCTTGCGCGCAGCTCCAGCGGCCAGCTCCCTCGATGCCTCTGAGCTCTTCACGATCTCCTGCGGAACCTTCTCTCGAATGGAAGGATCCCCGGCCAGGTGACTTCACAGAGAGAGTGCAGGGCCCGGGGGCCTCGACGCTGCCAGAAAACCACTTTGTTCAGGGGCCCCGCGGGGCCCGCGACCAAGCGCCGCCCGCCGGGGGGGAACGATGCGACTGGTCGGACCGAGGATCAGCAGCTTCCGCCTCCGGTCGCACAGGCAACCGATGCCGATCGGCCCTCGGGTTCCGGTAGCCTGGGCTGCCTCCCTCTTCCGTGCGCCCCGGCCTGCTCCGATCCAGAGCTGCACTGGTGGCCCACCCCGCCCTCGATGACCCTGAGCTCTTCACGATCTCCTGCGGAACGTTCTCGAATGGAAGGATCCCCCCTGCCTTCCCTTTCCGCGCGCTCAGGCTTGCTCCGATCCAGGATTGCAAAAAAAACCCTGGATCGCAAACAAAAACAGGATTGCAAAACAAAACCCTGGATTGCAAAAAAAAACCTTTCGGTTTTTCGCAATCCTTCGGTTTTTGTTTTGCAATCCTTCGCTCCGAGCCAGCTCTGCACGGGTGGCCCACCCCGCCCGGGAGGGCGGGCGGCCTCGCGGCCGGAGGCCCACGTCGCCCTGCGGTCGGCGACGCGTCGCCGAGGCCACTGCGGCCGGCAGCCGGCGGCAGGCCGTCGGTCGGCGTGCTGCGCCTCGGGGCGGCCAAGACTCAGGAGGGAAAAAGCACACACACAGACAGACACAATGAATCGTCGACTCCCCCGAAAATGTGGGAAACTGTGGGCCGTGGGGGGGAAGACAGAAACCCAGAAAATATGAGAGAAATTGTGGGGACTCCTTTTGTTTGTGTGTATTTATGTGTGTGTGTGTGTGTGTGTGTGTCCCAGGGCCCCTTCAATCTACGTGGCCTGGTGTTAAGTAAGTCCGGCGTGTCCCTCTGCAGGAGGACTATTCCAAAATAGTCAAAAGGCCATTTCTTGGCATTTTTTGGTTCTTTTTCGTTTTTCTCTTCCAGAACCCGCCTGTAGGAGGACTTGCCGGACCTAAGCCTGGGGGTGGCCTTTCACTCAGGGCCGCACGTGGTCTAACGGGCAGAGGTTCACCAACGCCTTGGACGGCGCTGCGGTTCGATGCCTGTCATAGGGGACCTTGGGCGGCGACATTGAAATCAGTCGTTTCCGCATTTGGACTGCATTTGGACCCCATTTGGGCCCTTCCTCCTGCTCCTCCACTCCCTTCCTCCTCCTCCTCCCCCTCCTTGCGTTCCACGTCTCCCTTGAAGGGGGGGCGCATCCAGTACAAGCCAGGTCCAATTCCGGTTTCACGCGTGCTCCAAATTTGGTCCAAGTCTTTCCCAAATCGGACAGCGAAGTGGGCCATGCAGGCTCCCATGGAACGGACACTAGAGTGCGGTGGCCCCCCCCGTTGCGCCCACCGCCGCATGGCCAGCGCTGATCCAGGAAGAAGTGCGCGCGGACCTGCGAGAGTCTACAGCCAAGACGCTGAAATAAGGACCGCTTTGGGTTCGGAAGGGGCTCGGGGACTTGGGCCGTTTCTTAGATTTACGTCGCGGGACTTGCTTGTGGCCTAGGCCCACCATGGCCAGAAACGCCCCTTTGTTCGTTATGTGGCGTTCCTTCTGTGGGTTTCTGCCTCTCCAGGGGAGCGACGCAGGCCGCCGCTGCCGGCAGCCTCTGCATGCCACCCTGCGTTCGCGACCTCGGTCCCCGCCGTGCTTTCTGCTTCCCTCCCCCCCTCGCCTCGTGAAGCGAGGAGGAGGAGGAGGAGGAAGAGGAGGGGGAGGAGGAGGAACATGAGGAGGAGGAGAAATATGAGGGGGAGGAGTAGGAGGAGGAGGAGGAGGAGGAGGAGGAGGAGGGAGAAAGATAATGAGGATGATGAATGGGGAGAGGGAGGAGGAGGGGAGGAGGAGCAGGAGGAGGGAGGAGGAGTAGGAGGAGGATGAGGGGGAGGAGGAGGAGGAGGAGGAGGAGGAGGAGGAGGAGGAGGAGGAGGGGGAGGAGGAGGAGGGGGGCGGGGGGCGGGGGCAGGGAGGGCCCCAGGATTTTCACCGAACCGACTCGCAGCGACAGCTACAAGAGGTGCTCAGCAGACCCGGCGGGGGGGGGGAAGTGGAGGAGGAGAGGGACCCCCCAAAAAGGAGACAACTGGTCGATGGCCGACTCCGGGAACTCTGCGTCCAACATGTTGACGCAACACTCTCAGATCCGCGGGCTATCGCCGGCGGTCCCGCCGCCGTTTGTTTTCCGTCGGTTTCCGCCAGCCTTCCGCCAAAGGCAAGGTGCGCCGAAGGAGACGCCTTTTTCCGGAGCGCTCTATATCCGTGTTCGAAATTTGGGCCCGTTGTGGCATAATCCCGCTGAAACCGGCGTAATCTCGGGCCTCATCTGGGCTGATTCGGCTGTCTTTTGGGGGGGGGTAAGAAGCAGATCGGGAACTGCTTTTCCAGTGGCGGGCTGCTTTCCAGTGGCGGGCTGCTTTTCAATCCCAGGACTTTATGAG